GATGATGGATGGATGATGGATGATGGATGGATGATGGATGGATGATGGATGGATGGATGGATGGATGGATGATGGATGGATGATGGATGATGGATGGATGATGGATGATGGATGGATGGATGATGGATGGATGATGGATGGATGGATGATGGATGGATGATGGATGATGGATGGATGGATGGATGATGGATGGATAGATGATGGATGGATGGATGATGGATGGATGATGGATGATGGATGGATGGATGATGGATGGATGATGGATGGATGGATGATGGATGATGGATGGATGGATGATGGATGGATGATGGATGGATGGATGATGGATGGATGATGGATGGATGATGGATGGATGGATGGATGGATGGATGGATGATGGATGGATGATGGATGATGGATGGATGATGGATGATGGATGATGGATGGATGGATGATGGATGGATGGATGGATGATGGATGGATGGATGATGGATGGATGGATGGATGATGGATGGATGGATGGATGATGGATGGATGATGATGGATGGATGATGGATTCCTCAGGAGGAGGGGGATGGAAGGAACCCCAGCTTGGGATCAGCCCAGGAGCTGGGAAAAAACCATCCAGGATCCAGGAAAACCATCCAGGATCCAGGAAAACCATCCAGGATCCAGGAAATCCATCCAGGATCCAGGAAAACCATCCAGGATCCGGGAAAAACCATCCAAGATCGAGGAAAAACCATCCAGGATCCAGGAAAACCATCCAGGATCCGGGAAAAACCATCCAGGATCCAGGAAATCCATCCAGGATCCAGGAAAACCATCCATGATCCAGGAAATCCATCCAGGATCCAGGAAAACCATCCAGGATCCAGGAAAACCATCCAGGATCCAGGAATATCATCCAGAATCCAGGAAAACCATCCAGGATCCAGGAAAACCATCCAGGATCCGGGAAATCCATCCAGGATCCAGGAAATCCATCCAGGATCCGGGAAATCCATCCAGGATNGATCCAGGAAAACCATCCAGGATCCGGGAAATCCATCCAGGATCCAGGAAATCCATCCAGGATCCGGGAAATCCATCCAGGATCCGGGAAATCCATCCAGGATCCGGGAAATCCATCCAGGATCTGGGAAAAACCATCCAGGATCCGGGAAATCCATCCAGGATCCGGGAAATCCATCCAGGATCCGGGTAAAGCGCTGCGGGAGCTGAAGGATTGAGGGGAGTGGACACTTCCAAGAAGTCTCTCCTGGCTCCTGGACGTGGGTTTGGATCCCGGCGGGTGGGATCGGAGCTTCTGTCCTCCTGCTGCATCTGGATCCGGATCCGGATCCGGATCTGGACCTGGTTCTGGAATTGGTTCTGGATTTGGATTTGGATCTAGATCTGGATTATGATCCGGATGTGGATCTGGATTAGGATCTGGATCCGGATTTGGATCCGGTTCTGGATTTGATTACGGATCTGGATTTGGATCCGGATTAGGATCCGGATCTGGATCTGGATCCGGGTCTGGATACGGATCTGGATTGGGATCAGGATCTGGATCAGGATCTGGATTTGGTTCTGGATCTGGATCCGGATCTGGATTTGGTTCTGGATCTGGATACGGGTCTGGATACGGATCTGGATTGGGATCTGGAGCTGGAGCTGGAGCTGGATTTGGTTCTGGATCTGGATCCGGATCTGGATTTGGTTCTGGATCTGGATACGGATCTGGATTAGTATCAGGATCTGGATTAGGATCTGGATCCGGATTTGGATCCGGTTCTGGATTTGATTACACATCTGGATTTGGATCCGGATTAGGATCTCGATCTGGATCTGGATCCGGGTCTGGATACGGATCTGGATTGGGATCAGGAGCTGGATCAGGAGCTGGAGCTGGATCCGGATGAGGATCCGGATCGGGATCTGGATACAGATCTGGATTTTATTTTGGATCTGGATACGGATCTGGATCTGGGTCTGGAATTAGATCTGGATACGGATCTGAATATGGATCTTGAGTTGGATCTGGATCCGGATCTGGATTTGGTTCTGGATCTGGATACGGATCTGGATTGGGATCTGGATCTGGTTTGGGATCTGGGTATGGATTGAGATCTGGATCTGGATTTGGTTCTGGATCTGGATTTGGTTCTGGATTGGGATCTGGATCTGGATTAGGATCAGGATCTGTATCAGGTTCTGGATACGGATTGAGATCTGGATCTGGATCTGGATTTGGATCCGGATGTGGATTTGGTTCTGGATCTGGATACGGATCTGGATTGGGATCTGGATCTGTATCGGGTTCTGGATACGGATTAAGATCTGGATCTGGATCTGGATCTGGTTCAGGATCCGGATCCGGATCCGGATCTGGATCTGGATCGGGATTGGGATTTGGTTTTGTGTCTGGTTCAGGATCCGGATCCGGATCCGGATGAATCCCGCTCTGCCGCGGTCGGATGCGGAATATTTCCTATTAAATCTTCATTTATTTCCTCATTTGGGACCCCGCCCACGAAAGGGACAGCGACCCATTGGAAGGAACAAAACCTGATTTGCATACGAAGTGATTAGCATACGAAACGAGGAATGGGATGGACCAAAATCATGAATATTTAATTGCGTTTTGGGTATTTAAATATTTTTATGGATAAAATGGCTCTGTGGCCACCCGGAAGCTGCGGAGTGGATTTGGGAATGGGATGGACCAAAATTATGAATATTTATTTTTATATTGGGTATTTAATATTTATATTTTTATTTTTTATGGATATATATTTTTTTTTTATTATATATATTTTTATTTAATATGTATATTATATATATTTAATTTTTATTTATTACATATGTTATATATATTTATTATAGATGGTTTTTATATTTATTTATTATATATATCATATCTATTATATATATTATATATATTATATATTATATATATTTATTATATATTATATATACATTTATTTAGTATATATAATATACACATATTTATTTTATTTTCACTCTAATTAATCCAGCTGCTAACGAGAAAACCGAGCTCCTTCCAGCCCGGCTTCAGCTTCGTCCAATTCAATTCAATTAATTCAATTAAATGAATTAATAATTCAATTTTCAATTCAATTAGATAAATTAAAAATTCAATTTTTTTAAATCTTTTTCCCGGCAGGTGTCGGCACCAGGAATTATTACCGGAAAATCGGCTACGAGCTGGAAGGGCCCTACATGGTGAAAATGTTGGAATGAGGATCCCAAAATTCGCTTCCGGAGCGCCGGAGTTGCAATTAAAATCTTAATTAAAGATGAGAAAAAAAATTGGAAAACATCTTAATTAATAATGGGAAAAAACATGGGAAAAATCCAAATTATGGGTGGAGAAAAGGGTGGAAAAATCCAAATTATGGGTGGGAAAAAGGATGAAAAAATGCAAATTATGGGTGGGGAAAAGGGTGGAAAAATGCAAATTATGGGTGGGAAAAAGGATGAAAAAATGCAAATTATGGGTGGGGAAAAGGATGGGAAAAATCTTAATTAATGATGGGGGAAAGGATGGAAAAATAAAATTAACGATGGAAAATTTTAATTAATTATGGTCCCTCATTAATTAGCCGGATGGGCTACGAGCGGGAAGGGCCCCACAAGGTGAAAATGTTGGAATGAGGATCCCAAAATTCCGCATCCCAAAATTCGCTTCCGGAGCGCCAGAGTTGCTATTAAAATCTTAATTAATGATGGCAAAAAATCTTAATTAATTATGGGGAAAAAAAATGGAAAACATCCTAATTAATGATGGGGAAAAGGATGGGAAAAATCTTAATTAAATTCCAATTAAAAACCAAAAAAATTCCAATTAAACAAAAATAAAAATCCGATTAAACACTGAAAAATTCCAATTAAACACCAAAAAAAAAACAATTAAACACTGAAAAATTCCAATTAATCACCAAAAAATTCCAATTAAATACTGAAAAAAATTCCAATTAAACACTGAAAAATTCCAATTAATCACCAAAATAATTCCAATTAATCATCGAAAAATTCCAATTAAACACTAAAAAAAATTCCAATTAAACACTGAAAAATTCCAATTAAATACCGAAAAAAATTCCAATTAATCATCGAAAAATTCCAATTAAACACTAAAAAAATTCCAGTTAATCACCAAAATAATTCCAATTAATCACCAAAAAAATTCCAATTAAACACCAAAATAATTCCAATTAATCACCAAAAAAATTCCAATTAAACACCGAAAAAATTCTAATTAATCACTGAATAATTCCAATTAATCACCCAAAACTCTCCAATTAAACACTGAAAATTTCTAATTAAATTTAAAAAAAATTCCAATTAAGCACCAAAAAAATTCCAATTAATCACCCAAAACTCTCCAATTAAACGCTGAAAACCGCAATTCCCGCCACCGCCTCTGGCCCCGCCCCCCGCCCGCCTCTCAGCCAATCAGCGAACGCCTCCTCCGGGGGGGTAAAACTACAACTCCCAGCAGCCTTTGCGGCCCCTGACGGAAGCGCGCGGAGGACAAAGCGCGGCAAAAGGCGGCGCGCGCCGGGCGCGGGTTTGGGGATTTTGTGTTCCCCAAAAATCCCGAATCCCAAAAATCCCAAACCCCAAATCACAAAAATCCCCAAAATCCCAAAAATTCCCAAAATCCCGAATCCCAAACCCCAAATCCCAAATCCAAAAATCCCAAACCCCGAATCCCAAACCCCAAATCCCAAATCCAAAAACCCCAAACCCCAAATCACAAAAATCCCCAAAATCCCAAATCCCAAACCCCAAACCCCAAATCCCAAATCCAAAAATCCCAAACCCCGAATCCCAAACCCCAAACCCCAAATCACAAAAATCCCCAAAATCCCCAATCCCAAATCCCAAATTCAAAATCCCAAATCCACAAAACCCCAAATTACCAAATCCCAAAAATCCCAAACCCCAAATCCCAAACCCCATATTTTGGGATTTGGGATTTGGAATTTGGGGTTTCGGATTTGGGATTTATGGGATTTTTTGGGATTTGGGGTTTGGGGGTGTCACCCTTGGGTGGGCGGGGCACCCATGGGTGGGGTGTCACCCTTGGGTGGGTGTCACCCTTGGGTGGGGTGTAACCCTTGGGTGGGCGGGGCACCCTTGGGTGGGTGTCACCCCTGGGTGGGTGTCACCCTTGGGTGGGCGGCACCCTTGGGTGGGTGTCACCCCTGGGTGGGTGTCACCCCTGGGTGGGTGTCACCCTTGGGTGGGTGTCACCCTTGGGTGTGTGTCACCCCTGGGTGGGTGTCACCCCTGGGTGGGTGTCACCGTTGGGTGTGTGTCACCCCTGGGTGGGTGTCACCCTTGGTTGGAGTGTCACCCTAGGGTGGGTGTCACCCCTGGGTGGGTGTCATCCTTGGGTGGGTGTCACTCATGGTTGGGGTGTCACCCCTGGGTGGGTGTCACCCTTGGGTGGGTGTCACCTATGGGTGGGGTGTCACCCTTGGGTGTGTGTCACCCCTGGGTGGGTGTCACCCTTGGGTGGGTGTCACCCCTGGGTGGGTGTCACCCCTGGGTGGGCGGCACCCTTGGGTGGGTGTCACCCTTGGGTGGGTGTCACCCCTGGGTGGGTGTCACCCTTGGGTGGGTGTCACTCATGGTTGGGGTGTCACCCCTGGGTGGGTGTCACCCCTGGGTGGGTGTCACCCCTGGGTGGGTGTCACCCTTGGGTGGGGTGTCACCCTTGGGTGGGTGTCACCCCTGGGTGGGTGTCACCCTTGGGTGGGTGGCACCCCTGGGTGGGTGTCACCCCTGGGTGGGTGTCACCCCTGGGTGGGTGTCACCCCTGGGTGGGTGTCACCCCTGGGTGGGTGGCACCCTTGGGTGGGCGGGGCTCTCCATAAATCGCGCGCGGCTCCGGCGGCTCCGGGCGAGTCTCGGTCGGAGCCGAGCGGGACCCGCGGCGGCCGCGAGCGCAGGTGGGGCTGCTCTTCCTCCTCACCCTCCTCACCCTCCTCTTCCTCACCCTCCTCACCCTCCTCCTCCTCACCCTCCTCCTCCTCCTCATCCTCATCTTCCTCCTCCTCCTCACCCTCCTCCTCCTCCTCATCCTCATCTTCCTCCTCCTCCTCACCCTCCTCCTCCTCCTCATCCTCATCTTCCTCCTCTTCCTCACCCTCCTCACCCTCCTCTTCCTCACCCTCCTCCTCCCCCTCTCCTCCTCGTCTTCCTCCCCCTCATCTTCCTCCTCCTCCTCTTCCTCGTTCCCCCCTTCCTCCTCATCCTTTTCTCCCTCCTCCTCCTCCTCCTCCTCGCTCTCTTCCTCCCCTTTTCCCCCCTTCCTCCTCCACCTCCTCTTCCTCCTCCTCTTCTTCATCTTCCTCCTCATCCTCCTCATCCTCCTCCCCCCCTCCTCATCCTCCTCCTCATCTTCCTCATCCTTCTCGTCTTCCTCCTCCTCTTCCCCCTCTTTCTCTTCCTCCTCCTCACCCTCCTCTTCCTCCTCCTTTTCCCCCCCATCCTCCTCCTCCTTCTCTTCCTCATCTTCCTCCTCCTCCTCCTCGTCTTCATTCTATTCTTCCTCATCCTCTTCTTCATCTTCCTCATCCTCTTCCCCCTCCTTTTCTCCCCTCCTCCTCCTCCTCCTCTTCCTCGTCTTCCTCCTCCTCTTCCCCCCCATCCTCCTCATCCTCCTCTTCCTCTTCATCCTCCTCCTTTTCCCTCCTCCTCCTCCTCATCATCATCATCTTCATCCTCTTCCTCCTCCTCTTCCCCCCATCCTCCTCATCTTCATCTTCCTCCTCCTCCTCCTATCCCCCCTCTTCTTCCTCCACTTCCTCTTCCTCCTCATCCTTTTCTCCCCCTTCCTCCTCCTCTTCTTCCTCCTCCTCTTCCTCATCTTCCTCCTCCCTATCAACCTCCCCCACCTCCTCTTCCTCCTCATCTTCCTCCTCCTCCTCATCTTCCTCCTCCTTTTTCCCCCTTTCTCCTCTCCCTCCTCTTCCTCCTCATCCTTCTCTCCCTCATCTTCCTCCTCATCTTCCTCCTCATCTTCCTCCTCTTCCTCCTCATCTTCCTCCTCTTTCTCGTCTTCTTCCTCCTCCTCTTCCTCCTCCTTTTCACTCCTCATCCTCCTCATCTTCCCCCTCTTCCTACTCTTCTTCCTCCTTTTCCTCCTCATCCTCCTCTTCCTCATCTTCCTCCTCATCTTCCTCCTCTTTCTCCTCTTCTTCCTCCTCCTCTTCCTCCTCCTTTTCCTCCTCATCCTCCTCTTCCTTTTCTTCCCCATCATCCTCCTCCTCATCTTCCTCCTCCTCCTCCTCCTCATCCTCTTCATCGTCCTCCTGCTCTTCCTCATCTTCCTCTCTTCCTCCTCCTCATCTTCCTCCCTTTCCTCCTCCTCCTCATCCTCCTCTTCCTCATCTTCCTCCTCTTCCTCCTCTTCCTCCTCCTCCTGTTCTTCCTCCTCTTCCTCCTCCTTTTCCTCCTCCTCCTCCTCACTGGCTGCTCCCTCAGCACCAATTTCGGATTTTTTGGGTTTTTTTGGAATTTTTTGGGGGTTTTTTTTTAATTTTTGGGGGATTTTTGGGGGATTTTTTGGGGTTTTTTTGGGGTTTTTTTTGGGCTCCGTCCCCTTCCAGCCGCGACTTCCCCGGGGTCTTCTCCTAAAAAATCACACCCAGAAAAGAGAGTGGGGATTGGATTATTATTTTATTTTATTTTATTTTATTTTATTTTATTTTATTTTATTTTATTCTATTCTATTCTATTCTATTCTATTCTATTCTATTCTATTCTATTCTATTTTTTAATTTTATTTATTTTCTTTATTTTCTTTATTTTCTTTTCTTTTATTTATTTCATTTATTTTCTTTATTTTCTTTCTTTATTTTATTTTATTTTAATTATTTAATTTTCTTTCTTTCTTTTCTATTCTTTTATTTATTTTATTTTCTTCATTTATTTCCTTCATTTTATTTTATTTTTTTATTTCATTTATTTAATTTCATTTCTTTTCTTTCCTTCCCTTTATTTCCTTCTTTCCTTTATTTATTTTCTTCCTTTATTTTACTTTTTTCCTTCTCTTTTCCATTTCAATTTTTTTATTTCATTTTACTGCTTTGTTCCCTTTATACCCCAAAAAAAACCCCCAAAAAACCCCCCAAAAAACCCCCCAAAAATCCCCCCAAAAAACCCCAAAAAAACCCCAAAGAACCCCCCAAAAATTTGATTTTTTTAATTAAAAACTTTTCCCTCCCCCTTTGGGTCAGGGTTTAAAAAAGGCTGAAAAATCAGGGGAAAAATCCGATTTTTTTGGGTTTTTTTTCCTGCGGGATGATCCCAAACCGAGGTGAAATTTGATTTTTTGGGGGTTTTTTGGGGGTTTTATTTTTATTTTTTGGGGTTTTATTTTCGGGCTTTATTTTTATTTTTGGGGGATTTTATTTTTATTTTGGGGAGTTCTAATTTTATTTTTGGGGATTTTATTTTTATTTTGGGGGGGTTTTTTGGTTTATTTTTATTTTGGGGATTTTATTTTTGTTTCTTGGGATTTTATTTTTATTTTGGGGGTTTATTGTAATTTTTAAATTTTATTTTTATTTTTGGGGTTTTTTGGGTTTTATTTTTATTTTTGGGGTTTTTTTTTGGGGTTTTATTTTTATTTTTGAGTTTTATTTTTATTTTTTGGGTTTTATTTTTATTTTGGGGGGATTTTATTTTTATTTTATTTTATTTTTATTTTTTGGGGTTTTATTTTTATTTTGGGGTTTTTTGGGGGGGGTTTGGTTTTATTTTTATTTTTGGGGTTTTTGGGGATTTTATTTTTATTTTGGGTGGTTTTTGGGGTTTTATTTTTATTTTGGGGGTTTTTTGGGGGGGAGGTTTTGGTTTTATTTTTATTTTTGGGGTTTTTTGGGGTTTTATTTTTATTTTGGGGATTTTATTTTTATTTTGTTTTATTTTTATTTTTGGGGGGATTTTATTTTTTTGGGGGGGGGTATTTTTATTTTTTGGGGGTTTATTTTTATTTTTGGGGTTTATTTTTATTTGGGGGTTTTTATTTTTATTTTTGATATTTTATTTTCATTTTTTGATATTTAATTTTTATTTTTTCGGTCTTTTCTTTTCATTTCTGGTATTTTATTTTGATTTTTTTGGTATTTTATTTTGATTTTTGAGGCTAACCCCCCGGGAAAAGGGGCCGGCAATGAAATGGTCTCAAACAGAGCGGAAAAAATCCCATTTCAGGCAGCACCTGCTGCCTCTCCCGACCTTTATTCCCAATTTTTCCACTTTATTCCCAATTTTTTCCACCTCATCCCATCCCCAAAAAAATTCCGGATAAATCCTCCCGGAGCTCCGCCGCAAACTGGATTTTTATTGCAAAAAAAACAGCAAAAAAAATCACTTTAAACTCATTTTTTTGGGATTTTTTTATTCGTTTTTCTCCTCGGAAATGAATGAAGGTAATGGAAAAAAAAATCGGATTTTTGCCTCGGAGGGTGGAGGGGGTTTGGGGGGTTTTTGGGTGGAAAAAGAGAATTTTTGGGGAATTTGGGCAAAGGTTGGGGTTTAAAGAGGGGAAAGGGGGAAAAATGGGGGGAAATGGGAAAAAATGGGGGAAAATGGGAAAAATGAGGAAAAAAATGGGGGGGAATGGGAAAAAATGAGGGAGAAAATGTGGGGAAAATGGGAAAAAAATGGGGAAAAAATCGGGAGAAAATGGGGAAAAATGAGGGAAAATGGGAAATAATTAGGGAAAAAATGGGGGGGGAAATGAGGAAAAATGGGGGGAAAATGGGAATAAATGAGGGGGAAAAATGAGGAAAAATTGGGGGAAAATGGGAATAAATGAGGGAAAAAATGGGGAGAAAAGGGGGGAAAATGAGGGGGAAAAGGGAAAAGTGAGGGGAAAAAAAGAGGGGGAAATGGGAAAAAAAATGAGGGAAAAAATGAGGGAAAAAGGGAAAAGTGAGGAAAACAAAAGAGGGGAAAATGGGAAAAAAATGAGGTGGAAAATGTGGAAAAAATGAGGAAAAAATGGGGGAAAATGGGAAAAAATGAAGAAAAAAATCGGGAGAAAAGGGGGGAAAATGAGGGGGAAATGGGGGAAAATGAGGAAAAAATGGGAAAAAATTAGGGAAAAAATGAGGGGGAAAATGAGGGAAAAATGGGGGGGGGAAGTGAAATAAAGAGAGAAAAAAATGTGGAGAAAATGGGCAAAAATGAGGGGAAAAAAGAGGGAAAATGGGAAAAAAATGAGGGAAAAAATGGGGGGGGAAATGGGGAAAGAATGAGGGGAAAAAAGGGAAAAATAAGGGAAAAAATGAGGGGAAAAGAGGAAAAAAATGGGCGGAAAAATGAGGAAAAAAGGGAAAAATGAGGAAAAAAATGGGGGGGAAGGGGGAAAAAATGAGGGGAAAAAATGTGGGGAAAATGGGAAAGAATGAGAAAAAAAGGGGGAAAAGGGAATAAAAAGAGGGAAAAATGTGAAAAAAATTGAAGGAATGAGGAAAAAATGGGAAGGAATGAGGGGAAAGGGAAAAAATGAGGAAAAAAGGGGGAGAAAATGGGGGGAAAATGGGAAAAAATGAGAAATAAAAAGAGGGGACAAAAGAATGAGAAAAAAATAGGAAAAAAATGAGGGGAAAAGGGGGAAAATGAGGGAAAGAATGAGGGGGAAATGAGGGGAAAATGGGAAAAAATGGGGGAAAAAATGTGGGAAAAATGGGAAAGAATGAGGAAAAAAAAAGAGGGAAAAAGGGAAAAGAATGAGAAAAAAAAGAGGAGAAAAGGGGGAAAAATGAGGAAAAAAAACAAGGGGAAAAAGGGGGAAAAATGAGGAAAAAAACGAGGGAAATGGGAAAAATGAGGAAAAAATGTGGGGAAAATGGGGGAAAATGAGGGGAAAAAATGTGGGAAAAATGGGAAAGAATGATGAAAAAATGTGGAGAAAATGGGGAAAAATGAGAGAAAAAAATTTGGGAAAAATGGGAAAGAATGATGAAAAAATGTGGAGAAAATGGGGAAAAATGAGAGAAAAAATGAGGGGAAAATGTGGAGAAAATGGGAGAAAATGAGGGAAAAAATGAGGAAAAAAATGAGGGGACTAAGGGGGGAAATGAGGGGAAAAAAAGAGGGGAAAAAGGGAAAAAATGAGGAAAAATGTGGAGAAAATGGGAAAGATTGAGGGGGGAAAATGGGAAAGAATGTGGAAAAAATGTGGAGAAAAGGGGAAAAAATGAAGGGAAAAAAGGGAAAAAAGAAAAGAGGAAAAAATGGGGGAAAATGTGGAGAAAATGGGAAAAATGAGGGGAAAAAACGAGGGGAAAAAAGAAGGAAAATGGGGAAAAAAGAGGAAAAATGAGGGGACAAAGGGGAAAGAATGAGGGGAAATTAGGAGAAAATGGGAAAAAATGAGAGAAAAAATGTGCAGAAAAGAGGAAATAATGGGGAAAAAACGAGGGAAAAAGGGAAAAATGAGGAAAAAATGAGAAAAGGGGAAAGAATAAGGGGAAAAATGATGGAAAAAGGAAAAATGAGGAAAGGGGGAAAAGGGAAAGAATGAGGGGAAAAAAAGAGGGAAAGTGGGAAAAAATTAGGGAAAAAAACGAGGGAAAAGAATGAGAGAAAAAAAAGAGGAGAAAAGGGGAAAATGAGGGGGGAAAAAGAGGAGAAAATGGGAAAAAATGGGGGAAAAAAAGAGGAGAAAATGGGAAAAAAATGGGGAAAAAAGAGGAGAAAAGGGGAAAAAATGGGAAAAAAAGGGGAGAAAATGGGAAAAAATGAGGAAAAATCGAGGAGAAAAGGGGAAAAGAATGAGAGAAAAAAAGAGGAGAAAATGGGAAAAAATGAGGAAAAAAGAGGAGAAAATGGGAAAAAATGGGGAAAAAAAGAGGAGAAAATGGGAAAAAATGAGGGGGGGGAAAAACGAGGAGAAAAGGGGAAAAAATGGGAAAAAAAGAGGAAAAAATGGGAAAAAATGAGGAAAAAACGAGGGGAAAGAATCACCTGTGTCACCTGTGCCGTGTCGCTGGGGTCCCCCCATTGTCCCCCCATTGTCCCCTCATTGTCCCCTCATTGTCCCCCCATTGTCCCCCCATTGTCCCCCCATTGTCCCCCCATTGTCCCCTCATTGTCCCCCCATTGTCCCCCCATTGTCCCCCCATTGTCCCCCCATTGTCCCCTCATTGTCCCCTCC